AAACCACCTGTGAAATGCGCTTCCAGAAGAAAAAAAATGGAATTATTTTGATTACTTCACATCGAGCCACTTGAAACAATGCTCTGCTTTGAAGAAAGCCATTAACGAAAAAGAAAGTATCATCAAGAGCACTAGTTAATTTTTTAAACACTGAACCGACTTATTCAGTCTTGTACTGTGCATTAAATAGAAGGGATACACACACACACACACACACACACACACACACACACATATATATATATTATTTTGCAGTTTGGGTCTGATTCTCGACGAAAGCTAGTAATATATTTAGGTTATAAAAGTTGATCAAACCATTAATGCAAATATTCACGGGTATATTTTCGAAGCAGCTGCCTCTTCAAATATTAAGCGCGGCTAGGATTTTTGTCATTTTTCTGTTCGAACAAATTTTTTTTTAAGTTTTCAAATATTAAAGTAGAGAAGCAAGTAAATATCCATCTGTTCAACCAATTTCTGATCAAGCCATTGATGAAAATATTCATGGGTATATTTTCGAAGCAGCTGCTTCTTTTCAAATATTAAGCGCGGCTTGGATTTTTGTAATTTTTCTGTTCAAACAAATTTTTTTAAAGTCAGTTTCAAATATTAAAGTAGAGAATCAAGTAAATATCCATCTGTTCAACCAATGTCTAAAGAAGGTGTTAAAGGACAGTTTTCAAATGAAGTTTGAGTGGTTTGAAATTCAATAATTGAGTAAACTGTCGGATTTGAAGGATACAGAAATCATTTTGATGGCGACGTTTGTCTTCATTCGACAGTTTGTGAATCATGCACCGTCCATTATACCGCAATCATCTTCCCACTCATTGTTTGCACAGTGAGAAAAAGGCAGTCAAAGCTATCGACATTGTTTTTTTTGTGATATTTTCTAGTTGGTGCGGCAAATTTTCTAACGTATTGCGTGATAAAGTTCATCTTTATTCCAACGGTAAATGAGCGAATTTATCATTTACGCAGGAAGCATTGGGCGGATGTGTATTGTCGTAGAAGGCTGTGTTCACCAAAACAGTTTAGATTTCTGCCAAGGGAAGCCAAACCAGATATCGCTAACAAATCACTGTTGCGTGCGATAATTGAAAGGGGCTTCTTAGTTGGCCTTACCCTTGAGAGAGTTTTTTGACACAGCTTGTTACAACGCGAAGTTATGGCAGCCATTGAAAATGCTTCGTTTAATCACCTCGAATTAAGTTCAAACAACGAGACGACCTCTACTGAACAGTGCAGTAATAGATTAAGTCACAGTCATGTTTCTATCGCGATACATTTTTTCTCGTTTTTAGGATCTTTAGTTGGAAACCTCCTATTGATCGTCGCCTCTGTGAGGATAAAAGAAAAATGGCTGCTATTAATTACTAACATGGCTGCATCCGACCTACTTGTAGCGATTTTTCTACTTCCTCGCCTTATCACAGAAGAAATCACCAAGTCCAATGCTTTCCTCGTCCACGGAATTGGAGGCACAGTTCTTTGCAAAATTTGTAGTTTCGTTAGCGATATGTCGTTGTCTGTCTCAACCTTGAGCTTAGTCATGATCGCCGTTGAGCGATTCCTTGCAGTTGCATGTCCTCTTCTCTATAGGTCGACCTCCTCCAAAAGATGCCCCATTCTTGTCGCTTCAACTTGGATCTTAGCTGCAGCGTTTCACTCGCCGTATTTTTACACTTGTCGACTGGCCAAAGTTGTTGACAATCAGGGTCATTATATACAAGTATGTCAACAAAATTGGGAACCAGCTTTCGATGACAGATTAGCACGTCGTCGCTACAGCATATTTCTATTTACTACCGTGTTGATTCTGCCATTGCTTCTTATTTCCGCTTTGTACACTGTCATCGCTTTTCACGCTCGGGATGACAAAATGTTGTCATGTCGAAGTGAAAAGGGAACGAAACAGAGACGGGAATGCACCCGAAATCTTCTTAGGATGGCCATCGCTACGGTTGCTTCCTTTTTTATTTGTTGGACGCTACATATCGTGATAAGTTTTATAAGCCTTTTTCCACCTTGGGCGGTTCCTATGTGTAACAAAAGCTTCGAGACTGTGTCTTACATCGCGTGGCTATTGGCAAGTTGTTATTGTGCAATTAATCCATGGCTTTGCTTTTCATTCATTCCAAGATTTTTTCGTGAATTAAAAGTTATGACGGGTAAAAGAAATATTAAAACTTCCATAGCAAAGGGTAGAAAACTGAAAAGGTTGCAAGACTGTGATACAAGCAATGTCCCGCTTCGCAGAAAGCAGTTCCCATTAAAATCTTCATATGAAGAACCAGCAAAAACATCCTGCGCAGTTATTTCTGTGGACATTCTATCATGACTCGATAAGCAGAGCAGCCAAAGCTAAAATTTTGAAAAGGCCGGAAGAACGCGAGAGTCGAAGAGGACACGATTCTTTTTGGGACTCAAGACCATGCATGACTGTTTAAATATGGTATATAAACCATTTAAGAAAAATATTGTAATTCACCGTATGTTTATTTTGCAATAGATCCCAGATGTCGTCAAAAGATGGCAAAAACGAAAAGAAGGGGCACGTGAGGGTAGCCGAGGGTATGACAGATTTTCTTATCAACTTTTACATTTTCTGTGGCACATTCCTGAAAATACCCTCGACAATATGGAATCTATTTGTTGTATATGATAAACAAACACAAGGTTTTTTATGGTGACTTCATATAAGCGTCTATCCTCTATTAAACAATTTGAGCAAGAACCAATCGCTATGTAAACACTGATAATTATATGCATATGGTCTTTTTAGTATTTCTAATTGAAACCTTACTGGTTGCACTTTCCACATATTCAAAAGCTATGATTTAAGGTTAGTTTGTTCTGAGATTTCGTAAGATGTTCAATTCAACTGAAACAGAAAAAAAGTAGAGAAAATGAACAAAAGGTTGTGTTTAAGCAGCTTTATTAAACCATTTAAGTAACATTAAACGTCGTTGTTTGCGTCTGTAATATAATTATCAAATGAATGTAATTAAGTAGTCACGTACAAAATCAAGTGCATGAAGATATCGCTGCAACCCATCCCTAGATCGAAAATGTTTCAATTAGGTTGGCATGTCCTGCGCGACCATTGTTTAGAGGAACAGGAAAAAAGTGTGGCTTAAATAAACTATGTGAAAGTGTGGTGTGATCGTCCGGGTGAGGGTAGTCCTGAGAAGGACTGTTGTCGGTGGTAGTGACTGACGTTTCGACAACCCGTGCGGAAGTCATCATCAGAGTCAAGTGAATAGTTGTTGTCAGTAGAACGTTCTTAGTATTTCAGTTCGTGTAAAATGATTGGTCAGTTTTGCCGTGATGTTATTGGCTGAAAGACTCAAGTGGCGTAGGGCGGTCGCGATTGGTCTGTTTCGATCCGTCGGTAAAGTTAGGTCATTCTGTTCGGTTCGTTTGTAATGTCTATGTCGTGAATAAGTCGTTTGTATGGAGTCGGTAGTAGTTGACACCGGTTTAGAGAAGTCTGTTCTAAGTTAGTAAACCAGCTTTCCAGAGTCAGTCGTTGAAAGTAGTCAGTGAAGTAGGTTAGGCATTGCGCAGAGCCTCAGTCAATATTGTGGTTCGTAAGTCTATCAGCAATGTGATTGTTGACATCACCTTTCCTCGTCGCCCGTCTGTGTTCAGTCGGTCTTGTTGTGAGGTTTCTGCCAGTCTCTCCGATGCAGGAGGCTTGGCAGTCGGAGCAATTGATCTTATATTTATTGCATTAAATAAACTATGTAGATTAATGTGTGAGTAATACACTCCTGAAAAATTATGTGGAGGAGAATACTACTTAGAATGGTTCATTTCAGAAACTGACTTTTAATTTTATGGGGTCCCTTTGTCGAGAAACGGGGGGCCAAAATAGAGGGTACCCAAAAGAGATAAGAGAATTGGCAGAAAAGCTGGGGAAATCTCCAGAAAAAAAGTGAAAGAAAAAAGGCAAGGAAAAATTAGGGAAAACAAGCCTGGATAAAAGTCAGGTTAAATTTTGAGAAATAAGGTGGAGGAAAAGTCGGGAAAATATTTGGAAAAAAAGGGGAAAATAAAGAAAATAGGCTAAGAAAAAGTCGAAAAGACAAGTCACAAAAAAACGTCAAGAAAAATTGTTGGAAAAATAGCAGTGCTGCTGAAAATTCTGAAGCATGTTTCCGAAAAATCTTCATGTAAGGATTGAGCATAACTGGAATTACCGCACATATCAAATCATGTTCTTGAAGAGAGCAATGAGATGAGTGAAGATTTAATAATCAAATGGCACCTCCCTTATTGGATTGTCTTGGTCTGAAAAAGATAGTCGACTCGTCACTATGTCCATGTGAAAAGCTAGGGGAATTTTTAATTGATCGATGAAAGGGTATGAAAGTAAGGCGAGTTCAAGGTAGTTGTGTTAAGGTTTTCTTTGAAGTTTTTGGACAGTAGGTTATGTAGTAGACGCAGGCTGCACAAAGAAATCTCCATGACCCACAAGCGATTAATTGAAAAAAAATTAATTGAAAAAAAACTATCTTCTCACCACTGCTCAGTGATCACAATGCAAATCGTGCTTTTTGTATGCTAGCCCGTGTCACTGTGAGTATCTTGATATTTAAACACCAAGGAAACCCGTGAACGTGTAGTAAAGGGCAAAAACTTAAACTCAGCAATAGATCGTGTTCGAAAATAAAACACAAAAGTAAAACAGTTATACTACGTTGATTCACGATCATAAGAAGCAAGCAAAGAGAAACGAGATGCTAGTGTCTCGAGAGTTTTCCAATGAAATGTGATACCTCAAAAAATATATTTCGGTATTAAAATTTGAAAGTATCCGAGCATTCAAGCCAACCGTCAAGAAAAAAGTGAGCGTTTGAACTTAAAAGATTGTTAAAATTCACGAATACGGGGGTTGTGACGTCACATGATTCCCCACTGTAGAAGTGAAATACTTACTGAACACAATTCAGTCGTTATAGTTACCTCTGTATGAAACACACAAATGCATTTTGTTTTTCTTTTATTAAAATGTACTTACACGTGTAAGATGTTAAATCGTAACATTCTTCATCTACTCGGTAAGAACTCTTGCAGCAATTTTGTCGGCAAATCTCAGTGCACGGTGGTTTCTGCGTTTACTTAGTGCTTTTTTTTTCTTATTTTATTCAATGAAGATGACGTCGACGATAGGCTGTGACCTTAGTGTTTACCAGTGTCTACTGTGGAGCGTTACTGAAGTATGGGGAGACGCAAGGGGAAACATGTCTAAGGGGGGACTCCATAACGTAAGGACCAGATGTAACTGGTATACTTGCGACAGCGAGTTGACCATCTGCCACAGGACTGTGGTTTGCAAAACATTGGTGACTGACCATTCCCATCATATCTAAGAAATGCGGGAAAATTTGAGATTTACAAACACCTCAGTAGTAACCAAGTGACATACAAACCATAAAAAGTGAGAAGTTTCTCGCCTTAGAAAATAAATTGACATAAATGTGGTTATTCGTTATAAAAAGTGGATTTTTATATGTCTCCAAGTCAAATTAACAAATGGTAAACACCACAGCGTACACCATTGAGTTATGGATGCACACGGGAGGTTGCTAAGCACGAAAGAAGCATAAGAGTCGCGCGAGGCGATAGCCGAGAGCGACTCTAGCTTCTTGAGTACTTCGGAAACCTATCAAGTGCATCCATAACTCAGTAGTGTACGCCGTGGTGTTTACCATTTGTTCTATAACATAACATTAATACATTATAGCAAAAGAGATCTAACACTGAAATCGTACGTGACCAGAAGAAACAAGCACGCGGAAAATAGCCTCTGCATTTGCTCACGTCAGCAGCGTACACCCACGGACAGTACACTGAGTTGACCAATCAGAGCGCGCGCTCTACTTTGGTTATGTTATTATAATCAGAGATTGTTTATATTTTTACGTAAGTTAGACATGTTTCATGATATATCGCCAAGGAGGCCAGCTTTCATTTTCCAATTCTCACTGATTATTTTCCCTTTAGCTGGCCTGTATGCTTTTGTTTGTTTTTATGATAACAAGACATGAAACTCATCGCATATTTACAACGCCACTTCAATCAAGAATTATAGATGACATTTACAATTTCCAGAATGTCATAATGCAATTTTCTCTTGTCAAGACATCACATTCACACTACCCAGGAGCTGCCCTTTTCAAATTATCAGAAGCTTCTTTAGGAGAAGGATTTTTTTAATTAGCTTATGGATCAATTTTTTTGATAATCGAGCATGAAAACTATCGAAAAAAAAAAGTGCTATGAAAAGACAGCCACTACCTTTAAGGAGACAGGTACCAATCGACCAGTACGAAGAAAGTGGTTCAGCAAGTAATCAGTGAACGAGAAAATTTGTCGGGAGGATTTATTCTCGAGTATGTCACCCCAGATCTATACAAGGCTTAAGCATTTCTCATGACCAAAAAGTTCTGCTTATTCTGACAATAATATGATGATTTTTTTGTTCCAGGTAGGTGGAATTAGATTGCTATAACCAATTTTCACATCGAAATAAGAAATTTAAGGTTGAACTAACATTCACACAATCCCTTGTGACGACTCTTGCTTCCTAACATTGGAAATACCACGGAGTTTCTCCAAAACTGATTGATTACGAAATCAATGCCTCTGGCTTCCAACTATCGGTGTATTTGAAGGGTGTTCGTATAAGCAAACAACGCATTTTTTGCATATCTGTGATCTAATTTCTCCCCCAGCCTTTAATGTAATTAAACTAGCTTTACTCCATGATCCCCTTTTTTTAATCCGTTACAATCTTCCATAAACCCTACCGATTTTTTTTCATACGGATTATCATATGATCTGCACATTGCTTACTTTCTCAGTTTTCTTTAAAATAAAAAAATAGTAATAATAATAAAAAAAAACATTCAGCGTCTCATTTCGTAAAATGCCCACCAAGTGTTAAAGACACTTAAGAGTGAGCATAACTAGGGCGTCTATGATGTTGTAATTGAGGTGTTACGTTCCGGGTTATACCAACGAACTAGTAAACCTTCTGAGTCTGAATTAACACGTCCCAGAAGACGCTATCTAATGAGATATAAGCTGTAATTTTATAAAAAAAAAAACCTTTTTCACAGAATAATTATAAAAACAGGCACCTGGCTCGATAATATATTAATCTAAATCCCATTTCAACCCAAGATTAAAACTTATAAATCTTATTATTTAATTACAACTTCCCTACTTTATACCAGAAAGAAACCGCATGCAAAACTAGTGGAATTTATCCCAATGCATGAGGATGCGAGGCAAATAAAGTGATTAAGATTCATCTACTTTGAATAAGAAATGCAAGCAACATTGATAGGCTATCCAAGAGCTCATTGAAGGTGTCTCAGCAGGAGAAGTTGTTCATTCTTTCCCGCGAGATAAGGCGACCATTGGTAGTTACTGAAAGTTGAAACTGTTAATAATGAAAAAGAAAACAAACTCGAATAGTGAGAGAAGCTCAGTGGCTTAAAGAAATGACTCTATAAGAATACCTTAGAAACAACAAAACAATCGCGGCCGAGGTTGTTGTTGTGGATTTTCGAAGAGCTGCTGCTCCTAAGTCAATTTGCAAGAGAGTGTGGTCCTTAAGCTAAAAATCCTCTTTCTAGAGAAGCTTTTGATAATTTAAAAAGGGCAACCCCTGGGTAGTGTGAATGCGATGTCTTGACATGAGAAAATTGCATTATTATTTTCGGGAAAGAAAAAGAATTATCTGTAATTCGTGGTTGAAGTTAAGATGCTCAAAGGTTGGAATTTGCCCCTGAATCTTTCCTTTAATTATTCCGCACATTTTTGGGATGTTTTCAAGTTTAGAGAGGTGAAATTGCTGTTTAATACCTTTTAAAGGTTATTAACGACGCACGTTGAACACTTAATTTTAAATCACTAGTGGCGTTCACTTTCATGGCGTGAAAGGCCATCCCTTCCCCCTTCCCTGCTTGACCGATCTTTAACAACCACGTGTATCCCTCCCTTGCTCCCCGATAAGTACATGAATGTTACACATATCAGAAATGATTTCAACAAGACATCTTAAAATTGACTTGCATACCTTTTAAACTGGAAGGAATTTCTCATTGTTTCGCTTTTAGTTATTTCCTGATTGGAAATATTAGTCCTATGTTTTTCTGATGTCGGAGGGCTCGGTATCGTATTTCAGTGTGTATCGAGGAAAGTTTGGAAAAGATTCAAGAATCAGGCCATAGCAGACCAATATCTTTCTGGTAATTTTGAGTTTTTAAGTCTTCTGTTTACATCTTACAAAACCCTGAAATTCAGTAGGTGTTACTGAACTTGGTAGCGATTTGAAAAATGTACTGTTATTAAACTGTAAACAAGACTTTAATTTTATCATTTTGTTGTGCTTTTACGTCTATTTTTTGTTACATTACTTTATTTATTGATTCATATGTGCATCTACTTTTCCTAGAGTCTCAAATTGTTTTCTGGCTCCTTTTCTCCTAATAGGTTCAAAATAAAATTTTTTTAAAATGATTTGTGTTCAATTGGTCCAATCGAGTAACCTTTATACCATAAGCTCCAAATAAAAGGCTAATTATGGTAAAACTGTGCTATCACAGCTATAACACTTGTCCGTCTGTTGTCGGTCTGTCTTTGTGTTTGTTTACTTGGCTTTAAACATTGTATCATTGGCGACAGTGATTACAGAGACCTTAACTAATCCAGGATCAATCGCCAAAAGTTCGTTTAGTTGAAGATAACCGAGTATTTCCTACCGTCCAGACAAAAACACTGACCTTCGCTGAGACTAGCCATGCACCCTGTGCAATGCACGTCTTTTTGCTCCATTTGATGACTTTGTAGAATAGCCGAAGGTAAGAAATGACTCGGTAGATAAGTACCAGGGACAGATAATGAGTTTATATGACCTTGTCGGTACGCCGCTCTGTGGGGGCACTCCCTAAAAATGAATAAGTAAGATGGTTCGTAATTGGTATAAACGCCAGGACGGGAAATTAAACTCGTAAGATGAGCACACTAGCGGGCTCTGCCTGTGCATTTCTATTGAAGTAACTTTGTTTACATTTCTTTGGAACCTTTTTGATCAATTTGCATCCGGTGTAATAAATTCATTAGCACATAGCTGCTTTAAAGACCGAAACTAGTATCATCCCACACTGATCATGCTTTACAATTGGAGGAAAAACCCTATTGTTATAAGCTCCCTCTTTTTCAATATGTTGTATTAAAACGACATGTCCGTATGCAAGGGTTAACAGACAACGGCCTTTCAGTAGAAATACCCTTTTAGGGATAGGATGCACAAAGAGCGAGACCATGATATGCATGCTTTTGATTGGTTTTTAATATAGATATAAATACTAAAGGAATTTCAGCTCTTCATTTGCTATCACTGGGTATTTTCCCGATTGAATATATAATCAATTAAGTGGGTGCGTTTTGTTTTACCCATTATTTTATTAGTATTGTTTTACTGATTTTTCATTATAGTAATTTCTTTTTTCCAAATTTGCTCCGGGGAATCCGTTATTTGTGTCATCTAAGAAGTTGAAACTTATAGATCACTCTAGACATTGTCAGTATCACTGAAGTGCAAAGTATCATTTGAAATAAATATCTGGGCCTAGGTCACGATAAAGAGGGCGGCTGCTTTAATTTTCTTTCAATAACGACCACAAACACAAACAAAAAGACAATAAAAGTATTACCACACAATGGATACTGTAGGAAGTATTAGTGACTCTCATATTAACTACCATAAGCCTGTTTTCGGTAGTACAAATCTTGTTCAATTTGATTAGCCTTCCTCCTCCAGCTCGTTAATAGTATTATATCCCGATTCCTTCAAATCACTATAAATAAGACTCTCTGACATACACTAATTGTATTTTTATTTAGGTTACTTTATATTGTGGACCTGTTTCCTTCAGGTTAAAGGCTGCCGACGTGCTAAACTACTTACGAAAGCACGTCCGAATTCCTAGGTCTAAGATATTTTGTAGTATTAAAAATTATTTTTCCTCCTAGAGGAAAAGAATGGTTCATTCTACAATGTAAAATGTAGCAACATACCTTTGCATTGGCAAAATCCTTATTGAGTCCCTAAAACCCTTGGCAAAGGGGTTGCTGTCAATTTTGAGACGTGTAATCTGCAATTTATGGTGTAGAAATGCACTTTTAATTGATCTGGTGGGGAATGTGACAAAGATAGGACCTCAAGATCGACCCAGACCTGCTGTTAAGCTGTTAGCCACAACCGAAATAAGATTAGGAGAGGGTGTGCCAGGAGTGGATAGAACGGTTAAAAAAAAAGAGAAAAATCCCTCACCCCCACCGAGATATTCTCATAATGACGATTTTAAGTGTGGATTTTTGAAACTATTTTAAGCTTTGGCATCTACCGTGATCCTAGCGATGTTTCTAGTGGCCTTATTTTTACGACGAATTATAGCGAATCTATTAAAGGAAAACAGCTTTTCTTACTTTGGTCTGGAATGAAATCGAAAAGCTCCCCCCTTGAATACAAAAAGCACTCTGGAAGTCAAAGTGACCCAGCAACAGTTTTTGTCTATTTTTATAAATGCTTGTTGACGTCTTATTCTCAAACAGTGGGGGTCGTCTTTGTCAAGTCGGCATTTTAGTAAATTAGTAAAGATTAGTTAAGATAATATTGCCTTCTTACCAGCTGGTTTTGATATGCTGTTACAGCAATGAAGCTTGTTTCAGGAAAATCGAAGGTTTTCGCCTCTTTGGAGTGAAGATCGACTACCGAAGCAGTGTGGTCTCGTTTTCTAACAATGTGTACTCGAGGTTGATATTTGTGCATGGAGTTCAGAACAATCTGTTGAAGGATAGACAGTGTTTAGGACATAATACAACTAACTTAAGTTTAATCCTGTCAATAAACAGCCAGTGATCGCGATTATCGTGTACATTGAAGGTTTCTGCAAAGATGCTGCTGGAAAGAATTTAATTTCGAAGGTCTTCGATTAGAATACAATCACCTTACTTGGCCAAAACCTTCTTGTCAAGACGCTAAAATAGTACCATTTTTCAAGAGGAATTCGTGAGCTCGAACAAATCTAAGCAAACGTTTATCTTGGTTTACAAGTAGATAGATTATGAATCTCCAAGCTTCGGCATGTTGAAGTTTGATGCAATGTATGGTATGAAAGTAGCTTATAAAAGAATTTGATATAAATTCTACGGTGTAAATCTCTTTTATAAAACTCTATAGGGTGATGGATTTGTGTTTCTGTTTGTAAATGGTTAAAAAGTCTCCGGAGAATCCAACAATTTATCCACCCAATCTTATCCGCTTTTGGAACGCCGCCCGTTATCTGCTGTGGAAGCCGGCGGAGATAGAGGCCCCACCAACCAGTTGCGGCGACTTTGTTCTGCTTTTGTCTGCACGAAATCGTTTATATATGAAGAAAAGCATGCAAAAATATATACTTGTTCTCGTTTTCATACAATCGCTTTCATCCCAAACGGCTTGTTGTATCGTTTGATGAATACTGCAGAATATAAATAAAGTATTCTCTTACTCACATGTCCATTCTGGTCTGTTGTGTTGTTGGTTAATTTCACTTTTTCAAACGATATGATCTGTTTTAACAACTGCTCGCCAGTAAAAGGGGAATCTGGGTGCATGTAGAGTCTTACAGGCGCTGGTGGGTCAGCTTTTCCCGCCACAAGCCAAGTCGAACGGTGGTAGGCGTATCTGTAGCGTTTGTCATCGACAGGCACTATATCCATCAAAACCATATAATTTGCCCCAAGGCTAACACCGTTCAGCGATATTCTCAGGGTTGGAAACATTCTCCTTTTTGATTAAAAGGCAAAAACATCAACTCAGTAATAACACTCTTGTGCAGTGTCTCCTTTTTTTAATGAGTTTAATGATTGCCATAGTTTTTTTTTTTTCTAACTTTCTCTTGCAAGCTGATCTCTCACTTCTGCAAAATTCATAGATGGCCTCTTTTAAGAGAAGGGCAATGCATAGCACCATCTACGTTTGAAAATAAACTTATCCGATATAGAGTCACTATGATAGGAAGTGGAGCAAAATATTCATAACAAAATAACCAAGAACTGAAGGGCAAACATGTTTACAACTTAGTTGAATAGATGGAACAAAATACCAAATGTCACCTACAAGAAGCTACCGAGAAGTTAGCAAATCAAGTCAGCAAACCATAAAGTTCGTAGTGTTAATCTTAAAAATCATAATTATCCTTCCCCAGTCAAACAATACTAGTTATGGATCAATCATACGTTTTGCATGAATTGGGAAATAAGTACGAAGTTTTAGTGGAAAAGTACAATAGGTCTGCCGTTCACTCTCACACTGTAGAAATGTTTTTCAATGTAGGACTGCCCAAAAGTATATTTTCTTAGTGATCATCTGATCATTGGTTGAAAGTGACTTTCCATGGATGAAACGAAAAGTCATGAAATACCAAAGCAATGATTTCAAACACCGGAATAGCTCTAGGAAAGAACACAGAAGCACAATGGATAGGATTTCCTGAAAAGCACGGAAACGCCTTAATGCAAAGGCGATGGAAGTTTTTTTAATTTCAAGGCACTTTAACTGATTTTATTGCTTCCTATCTTGCCAATTTTTGCAATCAAATGTTTATAGTTTTAGGATATACCTAAATTATTTCAATGATGAGCGAAAATCAGAGAAAGAAACGAAGTGCCATATTGGACACCATGAATACATTGCATAATAACCTTAAGTGTAAGAGCTTATTCCGGACAAATCGATTTTCACAATCATGGTGATATTCTACATTATGAACAATATTTATAATATTATCCTTTGGGTTTTTTAGTGAAGTCTTCTGCATCATGGCCGTCGTTTTAACTAACACTTTGGAATGTTTCTTAACACGTACGTGCGAGCCGTCCATGGTTCATGACAAACCAAAAGAAGGATTTTTAGTATCGTCTCAAACTTTAAACGCAAAAAGCAACTTGAGCTCTAAGTCAAACGGATTTTCTCCATTTTCCCTTTTCTTCCTTGATTAAAACTGCTACTAGCAAGTTCGTTCGTGAGCAGTTTCGGATGCTATCTACAATACCTGTCAGTAAGGCAATAGACAGAACATGGTGTGAAGTATCTGCGCCTCTGCGGTCGCCTTTTCGAAAGAAAGGAGTCATTTAGAGCACATTATCGCGCCCGGAATACTCGAATTTAATTACAAATTCTGTATATTACAATGAAGGTAATTCTCCCCATTATAAATTTTCCGAGATCACTTAACCTTACAGTCGGTAGCATAAACAATTGTCTTCACTGTTATGTTGTCTGCGGTCATTCAAGTGGCGGATCTCTCACACATGCTCGCGACTGTGTTTTGATAATTTTTCAGTACATAACAGCAACATTGATCGATATGAAACAGTTCTCTATAACTAGACAGTCCAGTAGTAGAAGCAGCATTGTAACAGAAAAAGACTTCTCAGCAGTATTAAGACGACACAACATTTTAATCCTACCTTCCGGACTTCGTTATTATCATTTCTGTACCCAGTTCGTTGAAACGATCCCATAGATCGCGACTCTCCAAGGTAGCAGTAATAGTCTCCACATCTCCAACGGCTCCTGAATTAAGAGAAGTTGTTGCATCTGAGACGCTATCTATATTGATTCCTCCGCAGGACCTGGGCCTCTTTGAAGATGCAGAGCCTTGCACGTGAACCTCTTCATTAGCGCAAGGCTTCTTCCTCTTCGCCTCATCTGCTCCTAAAAACAATAAATAGTAATGTGTTTAAGAGGTAAAAAACCAGCCTGGAAGTAGCTTCATTTTCGTTGATAGGGCAATGACATCCTCTCGTCGCATTCGTGATAGTTATGAAAACATATCATCGCCGTGCGAAGAGGGCCAGGTTAGTATCGATTATTCGTTTGAGATCTTCATTTGAAAACTGAAACAGTTTCAAGGGCTTGACACCATAGATCCTATTATATGAATATATCTAGTTCAGAAAAGAGCGGGTCACTACATCATTGTATTTTGCTTCCAGATGTGCCTCTAAACTAATGGTTTACGTTGAGGCCAATAAGCAAGGAAACAAGAATAATGCAGGAGAGATGCAATACCGGTTTCATCCGAAGCCATCAAAGACGCGATCGAAAATGCTGTGGCCTTAGAAGAGAGATTTGATTGTGCATTGCTTGGATCGTAGCACTCTGCCATAACGTCCTGGTCTATTCACAGAGCCGTAAACCCCTTCATATTACCACTGATTCATACAAACAAGTCATAAACAGCTATTAAAGTAACTGTTGATTGGATCTCGGCTTATGCCTTACATAAGCCAATCAAAACTAACGCGGTGATGTTAAAACACTCGTCAGATTTAGACAAACCAAACTTTATACTATTCCGGGGAATAGCAATTTGCGGTTGGTGGCGAGAATTGTATTTAAAAGAAGACTGTGAATAAAATAATCCTATGAACGAATGAATTCAAAGTTGGTGTGACGCAGAGGGCAAAAATCACGCGCATTCCAAATAGGGTATGGACAAGGTGACAAGCTATTTGTTATCTTACTCTGCCATAACCTCTGGTGACCTGCACTGCTGGAAAAAGAATGTAACAATAAACGGATAAGCTACGATTTTACCGCTATTTTCGCATGAGAAATGGATATATCGCACTGGAGAATTTAGTATCTGAAAAGCAAGAGGGAATATTTTTCTATTATTGAAAAGATAACACACGACCTGGAATTTTCCATAAAGATCTAGATATTTCCTGTCTAGTGCACCTTGTCTTCTTGAATGTCCAGTTGGTTATAAAACATTAGTGTGTTATATACTTTTACTAGGACTTGCAAAGAGAACGATGTTCAACATTGAACAAAGAAGGGTTCAATAAGAGATTCCTTCAATGGTATGCATTTATTGAACTTTCACTCCAATGGTACAACAATTGCACTGAATTTAGAGTAAAAGGATCGCCTCTGCTGCAAAAATGCCTACGCCAAAGATGTCTGGAGCCCAAAATCTAGCTTTTCAATCACTCACCTCAAACAGTCCTGGAAGGAAATTTCCGAGGCTCATTCAGGCAATAGGATTCGCTGGGCCCAATATGGTATACGCCTTTATCAACATATATTGAAAATACAAACATAATCATACTCAAATAGTGCTCTTATCTTCCCCTATTTTCCAGTTTAAGCCGGCTGACTTTCTCAAACTTATCGGGAGTTTGAGTGAAAACTAATCATGGAGAAGACAGAAGGAACCACCAGGCTGTTGTCTTTAACAAAGTGAGTCGTATTTAGCACCAGGGGAAATAATTTTTTACAAGGTTAATGAAAATGAATGAGGTGAAGTGCTGACAACATGATGCGTAGTTTGTTTACGTACATCTGGTATTCCAGTTATCAAAAAGCTGATAACTTAATAGCACTTCCGATTCACATTTTAACTGAACGCTGCCAGACTCTACTAAATGTTCTATTGAAATTGTGATCGTAGCCTTTAATATATGATAGGAACGTAATGGGGATAATGAAAAGGCAGAGTTCATGTTTGTTTTTATCTGGAGTGTAGTTTGGTGATCGACCATCAATTTGAGTAATTAATGCGCAATATTAAGGAAGGGAATGTTATCGTTGTTGTGGCTATTCAATCACCATTCCGACATAAAGATTGTTCGAGAACGTTTTCTTGAGAAATAATGAAGGGTTTTTTCAATTTTTGTTGATTCATAGAAATGAGAGATACAAGAGAACTTATCGGGTGAAAAAGCAAGAGGGTTTCCACAATGGGCCTTTTAAGGCAAGCTACTCTATACTAAGCCACTGGTTAGAGGTTGATAAGGCGCTGGGTGGTGACATTTTCTAAATGCTTTTCCTCAAGAAATCTCCTGATATAGATTTATCTATGCTTTTTGGGATAGAGGAATGACAAACACATGTACTAAATAGCGCTATCTTGTGTCCTTAAATTATCGGTAAGATGTTCTTCCCATGGCTATTTCCATAAAGGGTCAAACGCTACCTTATTGACGGATCAAACTCTTTTCCGATCTCGGTGTCAATTTTGATACCATCGACTGACTGTCCGTCGACTGGCGGAACCTTCATCGAAGATTCACTTTGAAAGATAAATTGCACAAAGAAAAAAAACCATTTATTTTTGATGCTCCGAACGTAAGCTGTTCCACTTATGAAAATCGGCTTAACGTATTAGTTTCTTGGGGGTCTTAAATTGCAAATTAATACATTATTTGTTTGATTTCGACTGTAACAAAAGAAATGGCGTAAATCTACTAAAACAAAACAAAACAAAAAAATGCAATGGTGCAACTAATGATTTATCACCACTATGCTTGCTTTTTGAACGTTGGACTTACGCTATCTCCGTTTCAATAACCTTTAAAGCTCGATCAACAGATTTAAAAAAAGTAACGATGTTCGTCTGAGTTATCAAAGGAATAAATTTTACATTCGCCGTTTTGTGCCTTTTTTTTCAAAACTGAATGAAAATATGTAGATATTTAAACAAGCACATAAAGTGATGATTGAATAAACAAATCGATGATTTTTATCGAGCGATTTGCTTTGGAAATAGGAACCACCATGAATTCTTGTCACGGTGGAAACAAAATCATTGTTACCTAGTGCAGTACTTAGGGCTTGCAACTTTCATGATGAAAGTTTAAAGAAAGGTAAGCATCTTTTCACTAAATAGTGAGTCCACAGGCACTGAAAAAGAGACCGAGGTAATTCCATACCTGACCATCTGTTGTTAGTTGATCCGTATTGATGGCCTCATATTTTCTCTTATCAGGACATCTCAGCCGCTTCCAACCGTCGGTAACATCTTCGACAGTTCAATGCCGCCAATTCCCGTGACACGGGGTTATCTACGTATCTTCACGGCTTCTGTTCACAGCTTATATTAAGATCAATTTACCAGATTAATTGAAGGGATAATCTGTCCGAATATTCTGCGGATTTTTTTGTAGTTGGTGACACAGTGGCTCTATAACTATGATACTGATGTAAACTTCGAGGCTCAGGAACTCTCTTAGGCCATAACGTAATGCACTTGGGATAATGTGAAGCCAATCGACTAACAGCTCTTTTGCCTTTTGCTGACTCTTCAACTCTCAACACGTGATAAAAAAAAAACTGAGTTGATGTAGAGGTGTTGACAGTATTCCATTGTTAAATGGCAAAACCATACTAAGTAAGTTGCAGATGGACTCTTTTCTGATCGGACGCTGGCATGACTATCGTAACTGAAATGAAGATCTTATTGCTAATACAAAAGTGTAAACCTGAGAACTTCTACTGTTTTCCCCGAAGGAACCCTTAACCCTTTAAGCAGCAAAGTCAACAGACGCTGTACGGCTTATGCTTGCACTTTTCTCAAAGCGAATTAGCTCTATGGCGGCCGAAATCTCTCCGATCTGCTAGCTTTTCCCATTAATTCCCCTTAAAAAATTGCTGTCTTTTTTCAAATGGCAAGAGTCACAGAATAAATATTAAGTTAGCTCATCCCGGTAAACTCTAGAAAATTGGTTCATTGGCTATGATCTCTTATGGTATAGAGAGAGGGAATGTTAGTCGTTTCTGCTTTTCAACTTTTAAAGTTGATCTAAACTGAAACATACTGAAGAAACATTAAGGGCATCGATATCATACAAAAAAAACGCTTTAATGAAGATGCATTATCAAAATTAATTGGCGATAGTTTAATTTTTACAATTCCATTTGTTCACATTTCTTTTTCTGGGATATTCCAAATGAAAACAATAAATAGGCCACATATAAAGTTTCTCCAAATGCAAAATTAATTAAAACAAAAAGGAATGACAGCCTTTTCACACTTATTAGATCGTTGGCCTTATTAAATAGGATTTCGTCTGATCTGGTACAAAATTAGGACAAAAAATCATTAGATTACAACCGAACTTGAAATTATTTCTAAGGTAAAAGGGTCTATGAGACCTACCGCAACCTGCTCAAAAGGAGGAATTCTATATCTGTGTAATAAATGCTATTATGACGATATAACATCTTTGGTTTACTTAACTTCAGGAACATAACGCTATATACTATGAAATTGTTTTTGAGTAATAATTGTGTTTGCCAGCATCTTTAAACAAACGGGTGAACTAGTAATTTCGTCACTAAGTAACATAGTTTACTGGGAAGATATATTGGTGCGAGCTCGAGGATGCAATGTCCAAAGGAAAGGTATATAAATGTCTTAAATGGATATGTTCAACCTTGAATACATACTAATTTAAAATGGTGGAATATGACCATAGTAGCTTGAGAGCAAGCAACAAAAATGATCTCTTGATCTTAAAGATAGCGAGTTTTTAAAGGCCATTTTAGCCTCTCGATATTGTACAAAATATGTTGTAATTCTTCAAAAGCAAGCGGCGAAATGAGTATGATAAATATTTGGTATTACTAAGACACCTTTCTGGCTCGGCGCAGGATAGGGTCCAGAATGTGTTCACAGACCATGATCATGATGAGGATACTTTGTTAACCAAAAAAGAAATGCAGGTAATACACGTCTAGTTTAAAAGAAGGGTATTGTTGAGCCAGTATAGTCCCTGTGAACACTGTAGGGTGGCAGTGGAGGTACTTCCATCGTTCCCACGGGCTTTGGTGAAGAAATAGACGACAATAAGTTGGGCAGACCTTGCTGGTGAAAGGGACTAAGGACTCCTGTGAAAGGTACTCTTGGAATAGCAGGAGATGGCGGTGGACACCCTTAAAAAAAAAGTAAGAGAGAGAGAGAGAGAGAGAGAGAGTTAGATGAATCTCTTAGGACAAATTAAGGGTTAAGGACGAAAGGAAAGAACAAAATGACTCAGACATCTCGTTAAACCTCGGGTCTCAAAAGTAACCGTAAGCCTACTTGGAAGCATGCACAACGTGATATTACAGATAAATGCATGACTCGAACAGGACAAGTATACAGCATCCACGTCATTTGCGAGTTATTCAAAATTGAAAAAAGATTACAAGTTTCCTTTTAGAAGGCGACTGCAGTTCTTTTTAATTCACCTTAGAACTTTCCATCCCTAAAGGGAGAGACAGCTACTATATCGCTTTGGTAAATCAGACGGGTGTTCCCTTCTTCTGGTAGCATTTTGAAAATTTAATATGATTTAAAGTATCACTTTGATTTTGTGAACAATTTCGTGGGGCAGACACTTTTTTTCGGTTTAAAGCCTTTACAGATATAGTTAAGTATGAGAGGACTGATAAACATTTATCACAAGGTCGCTCTGTTTTTTTGTTTCTTTGTTTTTGTTTTTGCATAATTTGAGGACTTGGCACCCGTAAAATGCAAGAAAATAGCCAGTAAAGAAGAAAACGAGGGCAAGAAGAGGTCATGAAACACTTCTTTAAGCATTTTTATAACCTTGCAAAGTGAAATATAAAAACTTGAATTTCTCACGCAAAACTGCCCAGAAAACAAGTCCACTATTTCCGTGGCAATTTTAACAGTAGCATCTATTAAAAGGCGAAATCCATCATCAGTTGCAGAAAGTGCACTCCGTAATATTTTGCAAACTTCAAAACATTGGAGAAAAAATCCACAAAAACTAAAAAGAGGAATGTCGTGACAAACGCACAATGAAAGAAAAAAGTGGTCGCTTTTTAGACTATGTGCCTGTAGGGCTAGTTTATATCTGTCACTGAGTTCCTAGAAGACGCCCAATTTAAGTAGCTTGTGGCGAGAAAGTAAAACTCAGATAATCGATTTCACTTCGATTAATTCACCAATCAATTCACGCCACCCATATCGGTGAATCGTTGTAATTGCATATTTTTTTTAAAAAATAGCTGGGAGAAATCGCATAGTTGGGAATGATAAAATAGCAAGTTTTTTTGCGATCTTTACTTGGTTCATGTCGGCGACACAGATTGTCAGGTTTCTCAATTTTCTTCGACACTAATCGCTTGACGTTTAATTTAAATCACCTGTTTGGAAGAAAGTCGCCTTGTCATGGGATCTACAGCCGATCTTGGGAAGTTGGTATCTGCTGTTAACCCCTAGCTGTGGTATCAGCGGAAAGGGAAGGGAAGGATACAACGGGTCTGTAACCATTGTAGGTGGGTGACTTTCATGAAAACAGTCTCTGAAATTAAAATAAAAGGTGAAGATAGAATTAAATTGAATAATGGTTTATGAACACATACGTGTAAGAGTTTCACAGGGATCCTATGCACAAGCATTTGTAATCATTTTAGCTTTTGTTTTTCAAATCAGCGAAGAGCAGCAAGAGTTAATTTCACTCAGGTGAATTCTCACTCAACCGTGACAAAGAAGAGTCGATGCGTTAATTTATAAAGTATAAAAGCAAAAAGTTAAATAAAGAGAAAGACGTGAACGAAGGTGTTAACTACAAGAAAACCTACTGTGAAAAAACAAAGAGCTGTACTTCTTTAACCATTAATTGCTTTGAGATATTGTCGATGTATAATTTTTTCTTTGGCAAGTTCAACTCTTGAAAAGAGTATTTATTTTCCGGAGTTCTAACTCCTACCTTTCTACTGGAATAAGACGTGATGAGTCCCGGAAACCTTTGGCAAATGGATTGCTATCTATTTTTAATCGTGTGATCTACAAAACGGAAAAATAAAGACGGACATTGGTGGTTTTAAAATATGTTATTAAGAAAGGATCTCGCGCATTGAAACCGACAAAGATGTTAATAGGAAAGCTAGTGTGTGCGTGTGTGTGTGTGTGTTATTTTTTTTTTTTACCCACATCCGTCTTTGTGAATTCTAGATATATTGAAATATATTTCGATCACGATCGACCGTTCCTATAAGTTCTTTTTTTTAAATTACAATTGATAATTATAGGTCATCGATTACAATATCAATCCGGCTGTGTTTGTCGCCGTAAAACATCCTTTTTATTTCTGAACAAACTCTTTTACATAGTAGTTTGAGCTGCACCCTATAAACAGTGTGTCAAGTAACAGAAAAGCCATAATTTGTCGCTAGATGGTTAGGGAGATGAACATCCTTGAGATGAATTCTTGAGGTTGCATGCGTTTGTCCTAATTAAATGATAATTTAATTATAGCGTGAAACAAGGGAATAACGTTTTGGTTCCCCACAATTTGTCTGTTATATCAGTCAGTGCTACATAAGTTTACAAATGCTACCAATAGCGCCTGGGTTAAAAATGTGATATTTCACGAAGCACCTAACCCGTGGAAAATTACTCACCAGTTGATTTTGGTACGCTGTCACCCCAATGAAATTCGTTTCTGGAAAGGTGAAGGTTTTCATCTCCTCGGACTTGAGATTAATTACAGAAGCTGTGTGGTCACGTTTACGAATAATATGCACTCGAGGCTGGTATTTATGCATGGAATTTAGAATGAGCTGTAATGTCAAAAAACAAGGCTAATCAATAACCCTGCCCAATAGAAAATAATTTGATGTGGTATGATAGTTTGACCTGAGGGAAACAGCTTGTAAACTTGAATAGTGTCCCCAATTGTGCAGGATTCGGGCCTCTTATGGCCGAAAAAGATGATTATTTTTCGATTGGATATTAAATTTCTTAAAGTTTTAGCACTGTTCTTCGTTGCCAAAGCACCTTGATTTTCCAATATCTGATATTTTGAACAGAACAGCTCTTTGTCAACTGTTGTTAGACTGTATGTGCCCCTGGAGGGAGACAAATTATATCGCAAGGGGTGAGAATTTAAGGTAGAATGAAGGTACATAAAATTATCCTTAAGACCAGGGTAGATCATTAAAGTTCTATCTGTAATACTGAATATAAAATACGGTTTACTTACATGTCCATTACGGTCGCCATCGTTGTTGGTCAGTTTAACTTTTTCAAATGATATGATCTGTTTTAACAACTGCTCGCCAGTAAAAGGGGAATCTGGGTGCATGTAGAGTCTTACAGGCGCTGGTGGATCAGCTTTACCTGCCACAAGCCAAGTCGAACGGTGGTAGGCGTATCTGTAGCGTTTGTCATCAACTGGCACTATATCCATCAAGACCATATAATTTGCTTTAGGGTTAACACCGTTCACAGATATTCTTAGTGTGGGAAACATGCGCCTAAAAAGAGAAAAATTCTGTCAAGGATTGTTTGGAAAGAAGAAGTCATGGGCGCGCTCAAAATATGTGGTTATTTCTGTTATGGGTCTGGCAAATTAAATCATCGACATAGCACCTTAACATCGCTTATCAGATAAGAAATCAAAACTTTCAGTCCAGTGGTTTGTGTGCGTGAATGTGATAATTTACCCGGTAGGAAGCATCAATAACGAGCCGTATTTATGTTTATCCAAACCTGTAGATGCTGTTTATAAAACAGCTTGTTATCTTTTTAACAACTTTGATTTCCGACACCGATTTACAAGCGGTTAGGGAAGAGATCAGTTGGTGGCACTACACAAAACGCAAAGGCTTTTCCAGGTTAGTGCGCCACAGACGACTTTCAATGCACCTCACCTTCCAGCCTTGGTAATGATCATTTCAGTTCCAAGTTCACTAAATCTCTCCCATAACTCTTTTCCTTCCAATTCAACGGTTATGTTCCTAAGTTCGTCCTTATAAGAGTTTTCTAACTCTTTCCCACTTTCTTTGTCTTCGATGGTCTCCTCGCTTGACGAAGACTTCATCCTCTTTGCCGGCGGCGGTTGAGTAGTTTCTTCTTCAGAAACACTGTCTGCTCTTTCTTTTGGAGACGATTTTGGATCTAGAGAATTAAATGATTTAAAAAACACATATTTAGCTGTGACCTTTAAGTAATGCTTCGAACCAACTCTCTAAAACACTCAAAATTTACGCCACTTTGTCAGAATCTCAAAACGGATGACTTAGCTGATAAGTGCGTCAAAATACTTGTGTCGGTTTTATGCTCTTACCAAAATCGCCTCGATCATCTCTAGAGGACATCAGAGAGGCTATAGAGAAAGCATTTGCCTTCATTGAAAGAGACGGTGAAGAATCCATTTAGATTCGTTGTATACTTCAGACACTGTATTTGTTTGTCGCACCCTTTTCACGCTAGCTGCTAAGTTCTTTGGCAAACAGGCAATAAACAGCAATTAATACTTTGATGACAGCCTTTGTATTTTGTCTGTTGGGAAAAGCACTGGGACGAGACCGCATCCCAGAATAGAGCAGTCATATGCCACTCACACTGATACTCGACACGTCACATACGGAACTCATTTAACAGGTTGGTTCAGATAAACATGAGCTACGAAACTCTGATTCTAATGACAGCAAGTTGTTCTTGCAGGAAAGATGGTAGATTGACTTATCAGGGAACATTACCGTGTTTATTTGTTTTGATGTCGCAGGAAGTGAATTGACCTTTCTAGAGTATACGAGGTTATTATTTTACTTGACTCGGAATATTAACACTTCTCAGAGGTAGCAGTATGAGGCTTTCTCGCAGCCCCACAAGGCGAAATAGATGTCGTACGCTCGTTCAGTGAAGGTTTGTGTTAAGCGGAGTCGAGAGGCAAGATTAGGCCTCTCCTCACCTGATGAAAGATAATGGCACCCAATATGAAAGCAAGCAATCAAATCTATGGACTATTAACTTCCCTGAAATAAAACGAAAGTTTGCAAAGAAGGTCTCCAGGAATCAGTATCTGTACTTTCTTGGAAATTTTAGGATTTTTATTAGGTGAATTTTGAAGAATGGGACTCATTCCAATGGTGATGACCCTCATAAAGATAACAACTTTACACTGTTTAAACTGTTTGTTTGCTACGAAGGTTGACGGAAATCGGTTGCACCCCCTGATCGGTTTATTTGTTTTAGGATAGTACAAGATCGGTCGGCGCAAATCAGACAGCTTTATGGTGGATTTAATTTTCCCAACGCTGCGTGCATTCCAACAATAGCCTCGAACAGGAAGAGTTAACTCAAGTTGTCTTTTCCATTCAACAATACGTACAATCAAAGTGAAACGAAATTTATTAAGACTTTGCTGCTCAGATTCACCAAAAAAAAAACCTCTTAAGCAGTTTTATTTACTTCTCATCTCTGGCAGTCTTTCTTAAATATAATCATTTTACGTTGTAACAAACAAAAGTGCATGTTATCGATTGAGAGAAGAAAGGCTGTTGACAAGGCGAAATTATTTTCCCACGCTGATGAGTATTCCCTATCAGAGCTGAAGAAAGCACAGAGGTGCCGACGAAATCTATTCAAAGCACTGAAAAGCTTTTGATTAGGTTAGCTGCTTAAGACAAAGAAACATTTCATTTATTTCGTGATGAGAACTAAGATCTTCATCCGATAGCAACAGCAACTCGACACATCTGGATTTGTGGGTAGGCCTGAAATTACTCAACTTCCTGAGGTGACATTGTTCATTCACATCGATGGTCTTTGTCAAACTTTGCTTTTCTGGAAATGCGCTTCTTGAACATCACATTCTTGACATATTTCCTAAGATCTGTTTAGCTCTGTAGAAAGGGTGAATAATCCCCACGCTGGTAAAGTCACACGTCCCTCTTGACCTGTGTTAAACCAATCTAGTCCTACATGAAACCAAACACCATTCACACCGTTCACTTAATTAGCTTAATATACTGATAAGAATCTAGATAAGTGTCGCATTAACATGAATAGGAACTCATTATTTCAATGGGTATTACATTTCAGTCTAGCTTTTGTGCGCTCACGACATGCACATGAAAATGAAGTAAATCCTTGCGTTTATCAAGTCTGGTGGCTGAGGAGTTACTCAAGTTGAGATAAACTGATTGAAACGACAACTAAAGAACTTCTTCCGAGACCCTAAACACCAAACTTTGTACGGTAAAATGGCCCAGTGTGGTCACTACCGCAAGCGTTCAACATTGATGTGTTTTAAAAATTGCTATCTTCGCCTAAAGCACCCATCCTGTAAACTATTGCCATATGCGTTCGAAAGGATGGACACCTATCCGTTGTCTTTCATCGCTCAATTAAGCTGTTTATTTATCAATCGTACCATGTTTTTCAAAGACGTGGGTTGTGAACCGCCCGTGAAGAGGCCACAGTGTTACTCAACATGAGCTTGTTACACTATTAAAGAAATATAAGTAGACGGTTGCAAGTAGAGATAGGTCGGTGTTATTTCAACAGTATCATGTATCGAACAAGTTCGTTTCAACATTTTATGGTTCTCTATACCCTGATCTTTAAGAAACCGATATGACACCTATATAAACATTTTGGAACATTATAATATTCCGAAAAAATTATGATAAAATAAAATAGATTACGTGAAGAGAATGCCCCAAGGAATAGAGTGAAGCAGCGGAAGCATTAAGTGATATACGGACAACAATAGGTCAAAATAAGTACGCAAAACGAATAAAAACACTATAAGGTGATCTGTACTTGGCAGCATGATTTCTGTTATTTTAGCTGTTTAAGTGTTATGAACATGTGTTGATCTGTTGACGGAATTTGACTGGTAACGACAAGAATTTTGTTTTCTGATAGGACATCTTCATTTGTATCTTCAAAGTACCATGGCGTAATCAACAATAAAAACGAAACGATTTGCATGACGTGCTACAAAGATAACAGATAATTCTACTGATTTCTAGTTGATGACAACCTTTTCCCGTACGCTTGACTAAAATTACCCCGTGGTAAGCTTTTCGCCTAATGTACCAAAACTGAATTGCGGAAATATTCGTTGCTAGATTGTTCTACAATATGGGTGCCAACTTTGAAAACAAAAACAGCGCTGAACACAGAAACTCATAAAGAATTCTGCGGCCGTCTTACTTAAGCAACCTACTCCCGCAAGAGAGCAGTTCCGCGTGAAACAGATAAATCCCATTTTCTCGGAATTGTTATGATTAGTTTTAAATACAGGCCTATGTGTAAAGCCGTGAACAATTCACTTATTGAATTGTGAAAACCCGTCCTAATTCAATTATATCTTAACAATAAGAGTGTAATACATTCTTTTTTCAATTTTACATTAAGGGCAGAGAAGCATTCGAGACATTTTAATTATCTTTCCATCTGCATAGTGTACTCTTTTTCAAATAAATATCTAAGCTAACCATGCGCTTCTGAAATTGTCCCCAGAGCAGCTTCTTGAGGACTGCAAAATTTAGAGCTCAAGTTTGAATGTCCTTCATACTCTTCTTCAACCGTTGATGGCAAATACATTCCTCATTCTTTAAGGCTCAGTAGACATGAACTGACTCTTTGGCCGATCGACATTCCGACGGTGCTTTAGCAGAGGGCTTCCTCCTCAGTTTTCTACCTGAATAGTTCCCAACAGACACAACGTTAGGTATCAGTCGGAAATGTATTTGAAATCGCCAAGACAAAAATGAAGAGCTCTCAAATGTTTAATGAACGAGATTCAGTCATCAGTTAGTAAATAGATGAATAAATAAGCAACTTGATTTTTAAGGAACAAAGTGCACGCTTGCAAACTCTTTTCACAATTTTTTATCTGGTTAACAACGCACGGTTATGCGAGTACATTACTGTGGTTCTCCAGGAGCAATAATCTGTGAACATGAAATCCAAACACTCTACCTGTACGTCGTCTAACTCACTTTCGAAAGCTTTGTCTCTTACTAAATCCTACAGATTCAGACGGAGATAACACAAAATCCGCCTGGTTAAATGGACTGGGTTTAAATACTATTCCTACTTCTAACGGTGCGATTTTTTCCCCACGAATCTGTGAATCACAAACTGATGAAAACACAAAACTACATTTTATAATGATTCTCGCAAAGCGATTGCACCACTCCTTAACAGGACCCCGTTGTTTCGGTAAACTTTTTTAGTTCCGATCGAGTAATGACGGCCAAAATGTATGGTAAGAAGGAAAATTTATGATTACTTGTAGGACAGCCGACTATCTGATTGAAGAAAATATAGTAAATCGATTGAATTTTGACAGAAAGAGATATTTAACCTTTTACGCTGAACAATGTAAATCCGATGAATGTTCATTCAAACGCGTGTTCAGAATTTCGGTGAGGCCTTTTACTTCAGAAATGTAAGTTAATTTACCGAAAATTCCTCCGTATAGGGTTATCTAGCGGTGCAGACTGCAATTTGGAGAGTAAAGGTGCATGAGGTTATATGCACGGCCGATCATCGCATTCTGCAGGGGAACACCTTGGGAACAGTCTCTCTTCACTGAAATAGTAAAGTTTGTTAATTGCGGGAAGGCCATGTCTCAGGAAAAGTTTCAAATGATATGTCACTCAAACACACGACCCAAAAGTTTCGAGCATTCCAAGAGGGATGGCATATACAAGTCAATCACTCGTTTTTCTGTTCTTGATGTTCTTGATAAGCACCACATCAACAAACCTTGCTGCGTTTCAATCTGATAAATTGGATAGAAAGTTATGCGACTTTCTGATCCTATGCAACGGTAGTTTTCATGCCGAGATTTAGTTCATGGCAAACATGGATACAGTCTTGGAAGACTGGTTATCGGCAGATTGAATCATCCTTTTCCATAGGTTGTGTACCTGGTTCATCAGACAGTAGTCATCAGAGTGTCAATTGTATTTGGAACTTTTCAGATGAAAATATTCTGGCTCTTTCCTGAACATATCTTTATGGTGTTGTAACGTATTTTGGTGTTTCCGCACGAGAAGTGGAATTAGCTAACGTTTATGACCATATTTGGTAAATGAAGAGAGATTCTTGTGTTAGTAGTGAATATTTGCATTTCAGACGAACAGAGATGCAAGAATTACATAGAAAGACTGAAAATTCCTCCGCACTCTCCAGAGCGACAAGTGATCAAGCGGATAGGCAGTTTAAAGACAAAACCAAATCATGCAACAGACAACGAAAAATAAATAAACAACCAACAAGCCAAACGATAGATTAAAAAAAAAAAAAACAAATAGACTAAAAATATCGACAGGAGAAAACAAAAAAAGACAAAAGAGATAGGATAGAAAAACTAATAAACGGCATGAAGGGTACAGTTCTGCTACAGTTGCAGCCTCCCTGGTGTATGATAGTCTCGTTTCCGATGGATGTCTGATAATTAAATAAGGTGGCTTTTGTATCATTTTTCTCGAAGGATAAGCCCTGTTAACCAACGTAAAACATGTCACCGGATCGTCGGGGATAGCCTTGCACGGAAAGTATTATTTTCCCACGGTAGTTTGAGATGTTAGCAATGCGAAGTCTTGGAATAACGTTTCGCCGAGAATACCGTGGAAGCTTAAAATTCCTATTCAAAGATTTTTGTACCGGAACGATTTTGTTTAAGTTAATAGGTGGCTTTTTTATCCACATACAAAATATTTTTATGTCTGAACATTAAATAATTATCTGAAACGTATCTAGGACTAAACAGTGCGGGTGGCGACCCGGGCGTTCCGGTCCCGACACAACTCCTACGCGAGATTTTTTCTAGCAACGGTCATCATGCAAGGCATACAGGATTTTGAACCCAGCTCTCAAAAGGTTTTGCCACCTTAGGGTGCAAAATCGTTCACAAGTGGGTGTCACCAGGTTTTTGTTTCTCAGTATTCCAATTTGAGATAAGAAACTTATGACTATAGTGTCGGCCAAAACGATTATCGTGGTTTACTAGTTTCCGCTGCAGTCAGTGAGGCAGATTGGTTACAAAATCATGACGTTGTCTATATGGTCAGATGGCTGCCTTTAAAATGCGTGTTTCATTTGAGATAATGTATCGTTCTCTCAAGTCTAAAGGACTTAACTGCTTTAGAAGACGCTGTTCTGGCATGGCTGTGACTAAAATCGCCGAATACTAACCTTCGCTTGATCGGGTTGTTAAGCTAGAATGGGATGCTTCGGTCTTTGTGGTTTCTCTGGTCACTAAGTTGATAGAGTGAAGAAATTTCCTTGCGAGCTTTGCTAACCACAGGAGCTTAGAATAACTTGTATTGGCAGTATGCACTTTTTTTAACCGATCTACTTCCTATTTATAAGCATAGTTTGTAGGATTTGAGGTATGTAATATCATAGCCAACTACGCACGAGGTGAACTATTTTAAACCCCGCTTTAAGCAACGGTGCGTGCCCGTAAGATTTTTTCAAATAATCACTTTGCTGATATCTACGATGAGAGTTCATTTGTACGTCTGAAATATAAAATAATGGGTCTCACGTGAATAGTATTTATCTCTGCTCTGTCGGGGGTCGAAGATGTCTACAACTGCTTTCTTTATCACGTTTACATTTGAGTTAATCGCTTGATCTTGATTTCTCACCGCCCTTTCCACCCCACGGCTGCTTTCCAATAAGGTTTTAACAATCGTTTGACAATTAGCACAACTTTATCTTTAAATAAGGATATACAGACTTCAGATTATAGGAAAGAAAATATGAAATGAATAATGGCTTCCGTCCTGTCGTCGGCCAAGGTAAAAGGAACTATGTTATTTTATCTCATGAAAGGATTAACATATGTCGTGTAGCAAAGTTTTCATGCTGCAGCGGATGAAATTTAGCGATTTTTATTTTGTAAGAAAATGCGGCTGTTACAGGTTTGTCACGGCAGTATTAATCTCATTAAAAAGTTTGACAACTGCAAACATCTGTATGGACTTGATAATACTTATCCTTGTATCGTATTGGCCCTATCGTTTTGCTTTGAACAAGATGAGGTACAAGAAAGGAACATTAACCAGCATAGAATTGAAAAAAGAAAATTAAAACCAGTGATTCAAAGGTTTTTATGATTGCAGTCGATTTATTTATGTAAAAATTTCCGGCCACCAAAGAATTAAGTCTTAACAATCAATCATCACTCATAAAGAGGACTAATGCGTCACACCCCAGATGGCCTATCTGTTTCTGGGGTGCCTCCTAGTAATTCAACTTCCATCGAGAGAAAGCAGATTTCTGGAAGAAACGTAACCCTAGCTGTCTAAATGGACTTGAGGCCATATCTCCTGCACCTGCTGATTTCGCGATTTGATAACTTGGCTGCAATCGGTAACCCTAAAAGGAAGAATTTTCTTCTCTTCAAATTCCCCATAACTCTACTAATACAGTAAATCTTCAAATGGTGTTATTTATAATTATTATTTTCTTTATTATACAGACTATACACATTTAACTCATCGACAGCTGACGATTGCTTACGACCATCTGGAAGAAGGCAAGGTTAACTGCTAATAAAGTCTATCATTTCTCACGTTTCGATAGTTTACTTTCAATGCGTCAATGGTGCGATTTCTTACAATTACTTACGATAGCCTTGCAAGACTGTCAGAATAAATGACACAACCACCAATACACATTGCATGAAATTCTTTAAAATACATGACTTGTAAAACTTCATCAAAATACGTTGTAAAAATTGAAGGTTACCCGCTTCTTCTATGCAGAGGGGAAGTTTGAATTGGTTCACCTAGTGCACTAGGTTTTAGAAAGAAGACACGGAATTCGAAAATCAGCTTCTTCCAGACGAGCAGGCTTGTTCTGTGTTATCTTTTTAGTCCACCGCGGTAGATTTGTTATGGTACGTGTTTGCGGGAGGACAAGGATTGAAGCTGAGTTTTGTCTGAAACTTACGAAAACATGAAAAAATATATTTATTTCAGGCTTTGTGAAAACTTTATTATGCAACTTGAGGTAGAGGTTCAAGATGTTGCTAATTCTAATCAGCTGCAGGCGATTGTGTCATAGCGAGTTCTGGCTGTATAACGAATTCCCAGAAACAATTTCATCTTCATGAGGTACTTACGCCCAAACTTTCACAAGCGGGATTGTGTCGGCTTGCAGGCTAAGATTCCTTGCTGTTGAACCTCTAGACGTCGCAACATTTCCAACTTAAATAGGGTGAACTTTACCGCATCTATAGGGAGAACAAAGTGAGTTAGTAAAATATCGAGTCCTATAAAGTTTTAGGGGAACTGTTCCCGAAAAATTGAATTATTAGACGTCGAGGTCAGGTAAACGAGCTGTGTGCCTTGTCTTGCCATTCCCATGCTAGCTGTAGCTAACTTTTTGTCGATCATAGCACTCCATTTAGGCTTCACACTATGCTTTCGGATCTTGACCCAATTTTAGCAGTTCAGTCGGGGTGGGGGGGGGTGTTCTGGGTCAGAGGAGACGATGGGTGAACTATGTAAGCTTCATTCTTACTCCGGCGTCTATTGATGAAGTTTTAACCAACACCATTGACGCCACGAAAGAGATTGACTTTGGTACCATTACTACCACAGTATTGAGAGTGTTCATATTGTTACATTTTTTCGTAAGACATATCATTGCTAGATTACTTGAGAGTCCTTGTTACATACTAATAGTGTTAACTTTCACGAATAAACTTGCATAGATTTAAATAAATGTAAGATTTGTATATCTGGGCACCTAAACAGTGTTTGTGGGTCTGGTAAACAATATTTTCGGAGAACAAGTAGCTCTTGGATCTGTGAATCAAACAGAACCTGACTAATAGTCGAAACAGGATTATATGACCAAACATCGATGCTTCTTTGGTCTTTCAACGGATGGAAAGATTCCTGGTTTAACAGTTACAGATATAATAGGCCAAGAGCAACTTAAGAAATACAAGGATTTGGGTGATATCTTCGTCTACGGCAGAGAATGAGGTTTATTTTGAGTAGGTCTCGTGTGAGAATTACAAATGAAAGAGCATGAAAAGTTCCTAAAAACAAGGAATCGAGACTCCGCGTTGCCGCCATTAACGCTCTTCATGATGATAAGACATCGTGAGTCTCTCTCAGGCGTATTTGACCAGGTACGTCGAGTTTCTGTTTCAACTGATCATGATTTATCTTCACATATACAACTCGCTAAATTAATAATGATAATACAAGAATAACAATGCAAGAATATATATAGCGCCATTTCCGTGAGAACAACATGGCGCTTTACAATAATCGTAATTCTAAAAATAAAAACATTCAAGTTATTAAAGAAAGTATATAACAGTCGTAGAAGTTACTTTCTAAAATAGGACACCGGATTGACTTGCTAAGATTAACTAAGGAAAATATACACAATAAAAAGAAAGGAAGGGTAGTCAACGAACTAATAAAAGCCTCTCTGAAACGTAGTGTTTTAATCTTATTTTAAAAACATCAAGGTTCAGGATTGATCTTATGTCATCGATTAGGGAGTTCCAGAGAAAAGATCTGTCACCGTAAAACTTGAGATTAGACTTTGGTGTTTCAAGGAGATTTTTTGAAGAAGATCGTAATTGCCCCGTCGGAGTATGGGGCTGAAGGAGATCTGCTATATATTTTGGCGCCATGCCATTTAGTGCTTTGTACCTAAGAAATAGTATTTTGAACGTAATTCGTTGTCTGACTGGTAGCTAGTGGTAGTCTACGAAGAACTTGTGTTACAGTGGCCAACTCGAAAGCTATGCTACTTTGGTCACTGTGCACATTTTACTTTTGATTATTGATGTAATTTACTGTTTCTTATATATTTTGACTTTTATAATCTGTAGTAACCTCTTGAAATAGTGCGAATAAAGAGTTTCAGTATATGTTATATGCTTCGAGCTCTAGTCACCAGTCGAGCTGCGCAGTTTTGTAAATTAAGGAAGAAAGCGTGATATCGTGAAACAGGTATATAACAATGGAACGGGGCTGATATTTAGCGGTACTCATAATTGTGGGGAAAGCCGCGCTTGTTACACAAGGCTAGCGAGGAAAAAACTGTTACAGAATATAGAACTGTTTAGACCTGTAAGAGTGGGGAAGTCGTTAGAAAGTAAGAGGGTGCCAAATTTTTAAGAAATCTGGATGCTATATGTTATTCGTACTGTACCAGGAGTTAATATGTGGAAATCGTGGTGATCGTAGTTTAAAAAGAAAACTCTCGGAAACGAAGACAGCATACAGCCCTGAGTTAAATCAGTTAACCGATGAGTGCGGAGTCCATAAATATTCTGCGACACAATTCTTTTACTTTAAACTATCGTATTCAGATATGTAAAATAGTCTACCACCATGTAGGCTTTTCAATGAAACCCTTCAGATGATTCATATGAATAAATTCTGAATAGGCTGGTGAGTGGAGGAGTCCAAATAGGGCTACACTTACCCTTTTTCTGGAAGAAAAAAGGAAGAGATGTTTGATTAAAGAGGTAACTCTGCCTTCCTACCAAAAGAAAATGAGGTCTCATTAATTTCTTTTCCTATCAATCCTTTTGACCCTCGTACTGAACTCCCATCCCGGCGATGGCACGAACAAGCGTTTGCTGAAGCCAGCTTTGCCGTCCTCTTGTTTCACATAAGGATTATAGTTATGGCCCACGTTTGAGGTCGAATGCACTAACTTATACTTTCATTTTAGTGCAATACGTTCTTTTCATTTTATTCCGATTTTTATTTTTCAGCAATCATAGACAAGGGTTGGAGTATCAAACGAAGATTGTAATGATATGGCCAACGCACCGTTTTAAGGAAACTTTGCCTTGTCGTAAGAACAATTTTTTAGACCAACTCTAGGCCTATGAGTGCATATCGGTTGAAATTCTCTGACTTAATACCTCATCAAAGATGGCGTCTTTTGTTGCGGTCCTGCATAAACATATAAGAATTAATGTTTAGAGTGGCTTACGAACATGCTCTTACTCCAGAAGAGGCAAATCTTCAATATGTTTAAGATTTGTCGCCACAGATAATGTTATGATAATATAAAACTTCAGGCTTAAAAGTCTGACCGTAATTATTTTATCGGATATGCGCCACTTTAGCCGCGACAAGCTAGTTAACGCAAGCGACAGAAGAGTCTAATCCACACTGCAGCGATATCAAATTCAGGTGTATCGTATACGCTTTCTTTTAAAAATTCAAAATTGTTGCTTTGGACGCCTGCAACATCATGATAGGTTCACTTAAAAACATTATTAATTGAAGGCCTTCAGTCCTTACTACTAATAATAATAATTAATAATAATTTAATATTTATATTGCGCAAATTAACATGTGGATATGATCAAATGCGTATCACAACACTTTTCGGGGGACTTTGGCCAGACTGCATCAGCAGTTTACAAACAATCGAAGGAAACTTATTTGAAGATGCCCCCTCCCCCCAATTCCCAGTAAACAGGCTAGACCACCTCACAGTAATCTCGTGAGTGGGTTCTTTAACGTCCCC